AAAAATTATTTTTCACATATAACTCCTTAAATTCATTTTTAATTAATTAATTAATTATTATTATTGTCATAAATAAATATTCACCGACATTAAAAACGATTAAAAACAGAAAAAAAAAGCAGAAGAAATATTTTTATATAAAAAAAAACTTTTAACGGAAAAATAACGAATTATTAGAAATTATTATTTTCTTTTTTCTTTTTCTTTTTTTTTTTTCTTCTTTAATAACAAAATTAACGTTTGCTTCTCGTTTGCTTCGCGTCGAAAACTAAACTGAATAAACGGCGGGAATTTTGTCGAATGTTTGTTAAAAGAGACGTGCGTGAAGAAAAAAAAAAAAAAACTTTTTTTTTTTTTTCAAAGAAGGCTGAGGTTTTTTTTTTTTTCTAGATTTATTTTCCATCACTGATTTTATACGCACGCACGCACGCACTCTCTCTCTCTCTTTAGTTTTTCTTAAATGATAAAAAATTAAATTTATCAACTTTTATCTTATATATATATATATTTATAAATATATTATGTACCTTCTTTTTTAGAGAGAGGGGAGGAAGGAAGGAGGGAGGGGAGGGGAGGGGGAAAACTTTTTAAAAACAATAATTGTGCCAAGAAACGTGAAATTAGTTTTTTTTTTTTTATATATATATATATATATAAAATGCTCGGATGATTTCAACTACCAAAAAAAAATTTTAACGTTTAAAAAAAAAAAAAGTAACTTTAAACTTATTTTGAAAAATTTTTAAAGAGTAAAAAAGAAAGAGAGAGAGAGAGAGAGAGAGAGAGTAAAAAAAAAAAGTTTTTAACTATTTTTACAGGGGAGGGAAGATGGGGTTTCTTTTTTTTTTTAAAAAAATAAAAATAAAAACAAGTTTAAAAAAAATTTTTTTTTTCTTTTTTGTTTGTATGTGTGTGCGTGTTTCGTATGAGTACACTCTTGTACGTGTAAAATGATGTCATTGTATCATGATGGTGATGATGATGTTGATGATGATGATTATTAATGGCGGATGATGATGTGGCGGTAATGATGATGATAATGATGTTGTTGTTGACGATGGTGAAGATGATGATGTTGTTGATGCATTGTTGGTGATGCTGTTAATGATGTTGTTCATGTTGTTGATGATGATGATGATATTTTGGATGATGATGATGACGACGATGATGATGATGATCTTGTTGATGATGTTGTCCATGTTGTTGATATGTTGTTGATGTTGCTGATGCATTGTTGGTTATGATGTTGTTCATGTTATTGATGATGAAGATGATGATGTTCATGATGATGGTGATGATGTTCTTGATGATGTTGTTGATGATGATGATGACGATGATGAAGATGATGATGTTGTAGATGATATTGTTCATGTTGTTGATGCGTTGTTGAAGATGATGATCTTGTTGATGATGGTGAAGATGTTGTTGATGCTGTTCCTGATGATGGTGATGATGTTGTTCATGATGATGATGATAATGTTGAAGATTATGATTATGATGATGTTGTTGATGGTGATGACGATGATGTTGTTGATGTTGTTGATGCGTTGTTGATGTTTTTGATGGCGACGATGATGATGTTTTGGATGATGATGATGATGATAGTGAAATTCAAGTTCTTTTTGACCTATAATTCGTGCAGAGTGCTTTTTTTTTTTTTTTTTTTTTTTTTGTAACCGGATAAATCTTTTTTTTAAAAAAAAAAAATTTTCATTAGTCACGAAAGTGAAAAAAAAAATTTTATTAATTTTATCCTTGGTTAAATCAGCATGAAAGTAAATTTTTCTGTTCTACGATAGTCAACAAATGGTAAAAAAAAGAAAAAAAAACGAATCAATAATTCGCTATCGCCTTTCCTGATAATTTTTTTCTTTTATTTTCACTCTTCCCTAATTTTTTTTCTTTTTTCCTCTTTTTGAAACTTTATTTATTGCTATTTTTTATCTAAATCAAATTTTCTTCAAAAAAAAAAAAAAAAACAAAATAAAATTTTCCTTTTGCTTTTTCCCATTTTTTTTTTTTTTTCCTTTCTTTAAACTAAAAAAAAAACATTATTTTTCTATTGGGTCGACATTTTGTTTTTTTTTTTTTTTTGTTCTTTTAAATTTATAAATAAAAAAATTTTTTTTTCTCGGACGACATTTTGAAACGACGATGAAACAAAATACAAAAAAAAAGAAGAAAAACTTTCGAGGGTTTTACGAGGTCGCAGTTTAACGGATAAATTGTCATAGAGTAAATAAATACTATTAAAAAAAATTATTTTTTTTTTTTTTAAATTTTAAACTTTTTTTTTTTATTTAGGTCCATTTTATTTTTTCAATATTGGTATCAAATATCTTTTGTTCGATAAATTGAATCAAATTTCATAAATTTAAAGATGGAGGATGGACATTGACGAAAAAACGGAAATAATAATAATAATAATACTGTTTTTTCGATTATTACGAATGGACCCTCCCCCTTTCCAAAAAAAAAAAAAAAATTTTTTGGAAAAGTAAATTTTAGCCGGGAGGAATGGTGTACCCTTGTGATCCAACTACTCGGAGGCTAGGTATGCAGGATGTTTAGGGGCGGGGGGTTTTGGGATTGGATTTTCCACGTGACTAGAAGTCCGCTAGGGATTAATCTTCAATTTGAATGTCTTGAGGAAGCTCTAGATAGCCAGGTTGAGTTTGAAAAGGGGAAAATAAGCCCAAAAGTCTCACCGAGTTGAGAGTCGTGGGTTCAAATCCTGGAAGTGGGAATTTCAGCTCGTTCAAACAGGAGCAGATCTGTACCTAAATAAGAGGATAAGTGATCTAGAACCCTTTCGAGGCATTGGGGATGCCCCGACCCTTGTTCGAGGGGGTGAAACTTGACCAAAATAGGGAAGACAAATGAACGATTAACGGGATTCGGGACCCTGGACATCTCTCTCTCTCTCTCTCTCTCTCTCCCCGGACACTCACAGACTCTGCGGAAGAGATAGGAACGATGGTAACAGATCGAGATTGTCCCTAGAAGGGTAAAAAGAGGAAGTAACGGGATCTTCCTAAGGTAAGATTCTTACCCTTGCGAGTGTGAACCTGAGTACTCCCACAAACGCCCCTCCCTCCAGGAAAAAGAACACGGTGAAACACGTCCACGAGTTTTAGTTAAGTAGTGGTTTCTGCTGAGTCTCCCCACGATCTCCCTGCTACCGGGTGGGGGGAGGTTAGTACGAAATGCTGCATTTCTCCTAAGATAACAAAAAGAAAAAAAATTAATTTAACGACAAATTATTCAAACTTTTATTAAAATAATAATAATAATAAAAAATGAAATTAAAAACTTACAAACTTTTCTTCTCTTTTTAATACGTCCGGGTCCATTTTTTCTTTTTTTCTTTTTTGTTCTAGAAAATCTTCATTTATTTATTTTTAATTAATTAATTAATTAACCGTTAACAAAAGGGTAAAAAAAAAAATTAAATATAAATAATATCGTATTTTATTTATTAATAATTAATTATAATCGATTGTTATAATTTTATTATTATTAATATTAATATTATCATTATTACCATTAATCATCATAATAAATTATGTGTTTTTTCTCACTCTCTCACTCTCCCTCTCTTCCTCTTTCTCCCCTTTAAAACGAAATGCTCATTGGAATAATTTTTATTATTATTATTATTATTATTATTATTATTATTATTAACACCTAAATACCTATTTTATATACAATTTACTTTTTTTTTTTTAAATGATGAGATTATTTCCATTAGAAAAAAAAGAACGCGATGATAATAATAATAATAATAATAATAATAATAATAATAATAATAATGATAATAGAGGAATTTAACACACTAAACCTATTATCATCTTTAAAACGATTAAATACTTTAAAAAAAAAAAAAAAATCACGCAAACTCATAATTATCATTATTTTTTTTTCTATTTTCATTTCAATCGAAAAATAAATTTTGGCACTTTGATGAAGAGGAAAAAAAAAACAAATAATAATAATTATTAAAAAAAATTAAATAATAATAATAATAATAATAATAATAATAATAATAATAATAATAATAATAATAAATAATAATAATAATAATAATAATAATAATAATAATAATAATAATAATAATAATAAACAAATTATAATTTCAAATAAAGAGAGGAAGAAAATCAAAAATAATAAAAATAAAGAAAAACCAAAAAAAAAAAAAAAATAGTAATAATGATAATAATAATAATAATAATAATAATAATAATATATAAAAAAATTTCAAAAAAATTAAAATTTAATCGTGCGATCGATTACCATTATTATTATTATCATTATCGTAGAAAAAAAAAAAAAAAAAACAAAAAACAAACTTATATTTACAAGAGTTCAATAATAATAAAAAACAAAACGAAAAAAAAAAAATTAATGAAAACAACAAAATAATAATAATAATAATTAATTTTACCTAAAATTTATTTATCACAAATTATTTTAATTAAAAAAAAAAAAAAAAAATTCAATCAATCAATAAATCAATCAATAAATAAATCAATCGATGTATTTCTTTCTATTTTCCTGCATAATCATCAACATTTTTTTTGATTCATTCAATCGATTCGAATTTAAATGTAAAATACAAATTATTAATTATTTTTAAATAAAAAATTATTTATTTATTTATTTATTAATTTAGGTTTAGCATTAAAAACCTGCGAAGTAAATTAAAAAAATTTTTTTAAAAATTATTAATTACAATTTAATTGCTTAATAATATTTTTCCCGGTCTTTTTCCTTCCTTTTCCTTTTTAAAAAAAAAAAAAAAACCGGAAACAGTTACACTCAAAAACGATTGAAACATACAGCCATAAAAAGTTTTCTTATTCGATTTAAAACAGCAAAAAAAAAAAAAAAAAATTATATAAATATAAATGTGATTCTTCAGTTTAATTTCTAATCATGCGAATTTAAATATAAATATTAAAATTAATTTTATTAATTAATTAATTAATTAATTTATTTATTTATTTGCTTTCTTGCGAATTTTCTTCGGTTAATTTTTTTTGATAATTTTCCAATGTTGTTTGTATCGTATTTTCCGAATATAGACATTTTTCCGAGTCGCAAACGCACGTAAACGATTTCCATTTGATGACCCAAAATTTATCACCGTAATTATACCTGGAATTTCAAACGAAAAGAGAAAATTTTAAAACATTTTTTTCATTTTCTCTTTTTAAAAAATTTTCTTTTTGTACTCACCCCAATTCTTCGTTTGGTAAAATATCTTTGTTGGCAAAAAAAGCTATCCTTGGAAATCTTAAATCTTGATGATCTACGAATATGTGAACGGGCATCAAATTAGGTACGCACATGTGATTAATAAACCTGGCAAAATTACCGTAGTATCTCGCATCTATGCAATACGTTTCTCCATCCTTGACAAAACCAAAATTTACTTTTTAAAAAAAAAAAAAAAAAAAAGAGGAAACAAATCGACAAGAATAAATATGTCTATAAGCCTACCCTATTTTCCAAATCGAATAAATACGAATCGTCTTCTCTGTGATCCGCTTCCCAATCCGATATTATTTCTCCCACGTACTCGCAAACAAACGTTCCCTTGGGTATGGAATTGAGCGTCCTTATTCCCCAACCTCTTTTCTCCGTTTTGAACAATTGAAACCTACACGTGACTCCATTTTGTACGACTCTGTTCCGACATGTTATTCTATTGCAGTGACACGCTTGATTGCATTCGAATATCGACGGAGGATTGACGTAATTAAAATCCGGTTTCAATCTCCCGTCGGTGTCGTACCTGAAAAAAATTTCCTCTTGTCATTTTCTTGTTTTTTAAACGAAACGTCGGTGGAAATTTTTTTTTATTTTTCACCATTGCACTCACCAACATTTCACGCTGATGGCGGCACAATTGCATCCCTCGGACGAGCAAACATTTTGACATTTGCACGATTGTAGTGACGTTATGGTCCTGTGAACGGTTATTTTCGACGTGAAACAACTTTCGTTAACGTAAACGAAATTTCCCGGCTCACCCTCGTCGTCCACTTCGTTTATACACTGAATTTGATTCCTTTCTTTTCCCCTGGATATATCGCTAAAATACATATTTTATCATTATTTGATTTAAAAAAAAAAAAATAAAAATTATTATATATCGTATGTTTCACCAACTTTGATACGATTTTCGGAGTTCGATCTTGAAATTTTGTCAGGAGAGCACTGATTTCCATGTTTAAAGTTATTCCCTTATATATGTCCGAGGAAGGAGAGTGGCTGCAGTCTCTTGGAAGTTCGCCATTTTTATTCTTAACATCGGAACGAGCACCGCGAGCGAGAAGAAGCAAAACGCAACTGTATTTTTGCTGACGAGCTGCTATGTGCCTGTAAAAATTTTCCCAATTTAAACGGAAAAAAATTGATTGAACACGAGATTTCACATAATTGCGGGTCTAAACATAATTAATAATAACTCACAAAGGAGTATCTCCGTGAACGTTAACGGAATTTATATCAGATCCTTCGTTTAAAAATATTTCGACGATATCCACGCTTCCGCCGAAGGCTGCCCAATGAAGTGCAATGTTTTGCTCCGAGTCTTTTATTAAAGAATCAGCTCCTTTACTGATTAAAAACCTGCAGAGAAGTCAAATAATTAAAAAAAAAATACTCTATAAACTAAAAAAATATTATTAATAAATTACTTGACAACGTCAATGTGATTAAATTCGGAAGCCCAAACCATGGGAGTCCATCCGCCATCATCCAAACCATCAATGTATCTATTAGGAAGATGAGTACCATTCAAAAGATGAAAACAAGCTCCGACGTTTCCACATTTTGCGGCAATGTGTAAAGGAGTCATACCGTCTTCACCCTGAAAATTGAAACACAATTTTCTTTTAAATTCCTCAAAAATAAAGTTTAAAAAAAAAGAAAAAAAAAAAAATTTACTTTTAAAATGAGATCGGCGCCACATTTAATTAAATATTTAACGACGTCATTATGTTTGGCATTGATGGCAGCAGTCAGGGGAGTATTTTGTTCCGAATCAAAAATATTTATTTGAGCTTTTGCTTGTAATAAAATATGAACGGCGGGTAAATGTCCATTTCCGGCAGCAAAATGAAGTGCGGTTTGATTGTTGTGCTCATCAAAAACGTGATTCGGATTCAAACCGCTAGCAATTACTTTTATTAATTTTTCCACGTCTCCATTTTGAGCAGCGTTGTATAAACTTTTAAATGAATATCTAAAATAAATAATTTATTAATCATTCTTAACAATTAAACATGATAAATAATTTTTTAACTCATTTTATAAAAAAAAGTTTATAAAAAATGACTTAAATTCATGCATTTTTTATTCTTAGAGCAGTTTGACAGATGATTTCATGCCATTATTTAAATTTTTTTCTAACATTTTAAAAATATTTTAAAACAATTGCTTCACTAAATGAATACCACTATTATGTATATATTATTAATATAAAACTAATAAACAAAACTATTTTAAATTTATTTTAAAAAAAAAAAAAAAATGCTATCCAAACGTACCTATTACTACAACATATTTTAGAAAATGATCTACAAGCAATATTTAATAAATGGGCTAACTTATCCCTCTGTAGAATTTGTGTGATTCCATTTACAGGTAATATTTCTTCCCCATTTATTTTAAATAAAGATGCTGGCAAATTAAAATTTGGATCCGCAGATTCTTCCACTTTTTGCTCATTACCTCTGGAAATGGTCATTTTTGCAGACTTCCTATCGGTGGGGAAAAAAAAATATATACATAAATTAAAGTAATGAAAGGTTAATAGTAATAAAAGTAATAAAACTCACATATTTCTAATGGGTTTTTGTTGCGGCAAAAAAACAGGATCCTTAGGAGAATGAATATTAACTATAATAGTTTTCGGAGTGCTACTATCTCCACAATGTGGACAAGTAAACATTCCATCTTTACTATCACTAAAACATGATTTATGAAAGTGATGCCATGATTTACACATTAAATACTTTCCCTAAGGGGAAAAGAAAAAAATTATAAGCATATTTAAATATTTCTAATTATTAAAGTTAATTAAAGTAAATAATGTTACCTGCGTGCAAAAAAGCCCACAACCTGGACAACAATTATGCCTCAAGAGTCTTTGTTGATGTACAATGCACATCATTTGATAAGAAGCTCTTTCACTAGCCCTATACAAACCCACATCTTTAGATGGTATGGTGTTGCAACAACCAACTATTCTGCTATCGATACAGTCAAGAGCTTGGCAGTACAAATCACCAGTATTATTATTCCCACTAACAAAAAGATTAGGTTTCTTACGACATAAACAAAGTTTTGGCTTAGATGCCTATAAAAAAAAAATTTTTATTTTAAAATTTTATGTTCACTTCAACCTTTTTTTATTTTTGTTTTTACCTCAAGAGATGTAGCTGTCGATTCAGGTATAGCAGCCTTGACGGAAATATCAGCTAAACTGGGTGATGGTATTGCAAATTCTCTGGGTTTTTTTTGAACAATTTCACATCCTTCCACATCTTTCTTTTTTAAATTAACACTTTTACTTATAGGTTGAGTGATACTTTCATCATTTTTTATTTGTATTTCTTTAGATTCTAAAACAGTGCATAAATTTTTGACGACCTGATGATTATCAGTTCTTTTTCTTTTTTTAGTCCACCCATTATCTCTTCTTTTTTTTTTCCTTTTCGTATTTTTAAGCTTTTTTATTCTAGATACTGATGTAATATTACTATTAGGTACATGACTATCCACAACTTCAAATCCTGTTTCAAAAACAGGATTTAAATTTGATGGAGATTCAAAGTTATTTGTTTCATTTTCTATAATTTTTTCACAGCAATCAGTTGTAGTTCCTGCATTGTTCATTTCTGAATTTTCAATTATTTTACTGACAGGGACTTGAAAATTATCATTTTCTAAATTTTGAGATACATCTACTGTAGGATCAGAAATACTATTAGACGTATCATTAAATAAAAAATTATCTTCACTAATTATTGCACTTTTGTTTTCTGCTTTACAAACTATTAATTTCTGCTTTTTAATTTTAGATTCACAATCAGAACCTGTATTTGTTTCAGTCTTTCTTGGCCTCAAGATCAATTTAGTTTGAGATGGCATTTTATTATCTAAATGAATAGAATTTTGATCACCACTATTGGCTTTAGAAGGTTTTGATTCTTTCACATCATGTGCATCTGAATCAAAAAATACTTCTGTAGCCATTTCTTTACTTGAAGAACTTTCATCAGTTACATCTTCTGTTTTAATAATAAAATTTTCTTCATTCTCTTTTAAAAGTGGTGTCTTGCTAATATTATTCTCTTCCTTTTTTATATCAAAGGTTTCATCTGAATTTAAATACTTTACTTTGTAATCAATATCACAAATAACTAATGATTTTTCTTTTTCTTCTTTCATTTTACAAAAGTTAAAGACAATATTTTCTTTTTAAAGACTTGTTTAAAATTACTATTTTTAAAACAACCTAATTACTGCAACAATAAAAAAAAATTTAAAGTAGTAGTAATTAAATTTATTTAAATCTATTTGTGTGTACATTACTTAACAAATCCATTTTCCATAATTTTTTACAACTTATTTACTTTATGTTAAAAGTTTTAAATAAGAACAACAAGTGTCAATTTTAACAATAATTTACCTAAAATGATTAACGAGCGTCATGGTCAGCAATTAAAATCTCTCTAAATAATTCAAAAAATTACTTTTAAAATACGGATAATATTTAAATTTTAAGGCCGGAACGAGTATCCCCATGTTGAACTTTACTGGGGCGTCTTATTTTCTTTCAATTATTAAATTAATTATGTAGTTAATCATGTACTACAATTATATTTTTAACAAAAAAAATTATTACTTATAATTAATAACTTGAAAATTCCGTAATAGTATTGTAATTAAATAAAAATACCTAACCAGCGGTTTTATTTAAAATTCCTTTCTGAGCTGGAATTTTGTATTTCCACAGCTGGCACTGGCTTATCAACAGCGCCTCTACCGTTTCTTCTCAAGCACTAATTTTGGCGGTTACCTTTTTTTTGTGAGTGTGTGTGTGTGTGTGTTAAAAATTAAAGAAAAATTATTTTGTGATAAAATTATATTAAAAGTGATTTTTAAGGTAAGTCCATTATAAAATTTTAATTATTAATATTCAAAGGATCATTTTAAAATATTTATATATACTCTAATCAATTTAAATATGCAATTTTATTTAATGAAAAAATTTTAAGATATATGGGAATAAAAAACAAAATGTCGTCCCAAGTAATTTGGTTGGTCTTTGATAATCTGAGTAAAATACTAGTAAAAATGAATAAATTTAAAATATAAAAGATAGTTTCTTTTGTTTTTCGTAAATCTAGACTATTCAAATGTTTTTTTTTTTTTAATGAAAACTTTATGAGTGTTAAAATTGCATTTTAAAATGTAAAAAATTTGATTATATTATTATGTCAAGTAAAGTTTAAAAATGATACTTTATTAATAATAAAGTTCCAATCTTAATTATTTAATAATAATTGAGTTCAATTTTAAAACTAATTTATGTAAAGAATTTGTAATTTTTTTGCATTAATAGGAATTTTAGTAGGGAAGACACAAATATTTTAATTAATTTTTTGAACATCTGAAGTTAGTTAGCTAAATGCTTAACATAACTAGATTTATTTCAAGAGAAGGTTTTTTATTTCTTGAATAGATTCATATTTATAATAATTTTTTTTTTTTAATTACTCATTCGAGAGTATTTGATATGATTTTTTTTAAAAGCAAAGTAATACTTAATATTACATAAAAATTTTTTAAGGAAGAAATTAAAGATTTTACTTATTGCGACAAATTTCCCTCTTTTACGTTAAACGCACGCGATTTTAATAATTCATAAACCCAGTGTATTTTTTTTTTTAACGTTCAGTTGCCTGGTGTGTTTATACCAGATTTTGTTGTTTTCCGTTAAATTTATTTTTTTAATTTTCTTCTTTTTTTTACTTATTTTTTGAAATTTTTCTTCAGTGAAATTTCTTGAGTTATACTTTTTATTTAACTTTGGTAAGTTGTTTTAATTTGTTGCGCAGCATTACACTTATGGAAATTTATCAATTAAACTAACGTTCAGGTATTGTTAAACGTGTTTTTAGTGATTCGCGAGATAAAATTGGTCAAGGTCATGTAGTTAATGCGTGATAACTCGTTTCAATTAAGCGCTATCAGATAACCGTTTCTTTCATTATTTTTTTTGCTGGCAACGATTTAGTTGTTTTTTTTTTTTTTTTTATTAGAATTTTATACTTTTTCGTTTGCAGGATAATGTCTATTGAAATGCATAAAACCAAAATATTATTTGTTTGCCTTGGTAATATTTGCCGTTCTCCCATGGCAGCGTGCGTTTTTAGGCATTTGGCTAAGGAAAAAGGAGTTGAGAATCAATGGGTGGTGCACAGTGCTGGAATTGGAAGTTGGTACGTTGGAGGATCGGGAGATAACAGAATGTTAATGACGTTAAAAAAACATAAAGTCGAAGCTGAACATAGGGTTAGACAAGTTAGAGAATCTGATTTTCACGAATTTGATATTATTTTCGGAATGGATGAAGAGAATGTGAAAACATTAAAACAAATGGCTCCTCCTTCTTGTAAAGCTAAAATTGAACTTTTCGGTATTCACGATCCAGAAGGTGAAAGAATAATCAGAGATCCATATTATGATTCCGATCTTAAAGGTTTCGAAAAAGTTTACGAACAATGTGTAAGATGTTCTAAAGCTCTTTTAGAATCTTATCATAAATAATTATGCCTATTTACTTTTATTTTTTTATTTATTTATTTTTTGCTTTGCTTATTAAATTAAAAGAAATCTTAAAAGTCTTTAAAAAATTTACAATAAATAATTAAATAATTTTTTTTTTCTTTTCTCAGTTTTTATCATTTATAAATACATTATTATATATATATATATCTCTTATGTTATTATTTCATTGCTTAAATTGATTTAAAAACTATTGTAATGTAGGAGCAGTTTTAGGGAAATATGCAGATATTTGCTTTCGTCCATTCGCAGATTTAGCCTGTTCTTTACTTTTAATGCTATCAACAGCAGTAATATTTTTCTTTATTATTTGTGGATTAAAAATAAAATCTTTGTCAATTGAACTTTGAAAATATTTTGGATCAAGACCCTTTGATCTGAAAGAGAGAATGTTCATGTAATCATTATATATGCCTATATGCTAAAATTAACATTTAATTTTAACATTATGAGTATGCATTGCAATATGTAAATATATGTATATGTACATATATATATATACACATAAATATAAATGAAAATTTAATTACTTACTGTTTTTTTAAATCTGTCACTCCGTTAAAATCTATATTTTTCTCTTCCTTTTTTTTCAGTTCTTCGCACTTTGACTGTAATGGTTCTTTTAATGTATCAGATTTTACATTTCCTTGAGTCGCATTAATACTTGAGGGTATAAATGAATTTGTACAGTTTGATGATGCTCCTATTATTTAAATACAAAAATCATTTGATTTTTTTTTTTTTCGGTTGAAAAATTCAGTTGAGATGAGTTTTATACCTGTAGAATCACCATTAGAGCTGTTACATCCTGCTATGGAATTAATTAACCATGGAGGCCATCCTTTGGCTAAATTTGATATATTTCCTTTCGGTTGAGATATGGCCAATATTGAATCGTTTTCTGTTCTTGTCGATGTTATCAACGTTGGTGATTGAGAAGAACCTGTATTGCACTCTGTGAGACGTCTGTTTAACCAATTTATGACTGCAATGTGGAAAATTTGAAATATTTAAAACAAAATGAATTCGATGATGATAATCAACATTTGAAATATTTACCATTATCATTTTTTTTAATGGTCATTTCTTTTTCTTCGATTTTTTTATTGGCTTCCTGTAGTTCATTTTTGATTGCACTTAATTCTTCTGTTAATTTTAATATCTTTTCATTTAATTCTTTAATCGTGTTGGCTTGAGATGTTAATTGTTGAACTTTTTTTTCTAGAACTTTTTCCTGTTCCAATGCTATATCGGTTCGTAACTTCATCTACAGAAAAAAAAGAAAGGATTTGCATTATTATTATAGGGGAAAATATTTGAAATAAACATATTGTCGAATATAAACCTTGGCTTTATTTGCAGCTAAATCGGATTGAAGTTTTGCAATCAGATCATTGTATTTCATGAGATCAGCAGACAATGTCTGAACAGCAGATTGTTTCCTTTGTAACTGAACCTCTTTCTCATTCAAAGCTTCTTCCAAAAATGCTTTTTGCTCGTTGGCAGATTTTAAAAGTTCTTGTTGTTTTTCAAGGTATTTACTTTTATCTTTTAATTCTTGTTCCGCAACAGCTAATTTAGTTTTTAAACTAATCACCATTTTATCTTTTTCATGATAGTCTTGATCTAATTGAGAAGTTTGCCTTTTTAAAAGTGTTATTTCTTGATTTAAATGCATATTTTGTTTTTCTAAAGCTTCTATTTGAAATGATTTTTCTCTATAAAAAAACAAAAAAAACAAAAACAATTTTTTATTTGAATGACAATTGATTTTTTTTTTTTTTGTGTGACAGGAAATTAATATTAGTCACACTTACTTTACCGATGTTTCAAGTTGACACCTGCTTTCGTATAAATTTTTATTATTAAAGGTCAAAGAATTTATTTGTTCATTCAAATCATTTATTTGTTTTTGATGTTGGTTAATGAGTTGAGATTTTTCTAACTCTAACTTTTGTTGCCATTCGCTTTGCAATTTTGTTATCTTTTCTCTCTCCTCTGAAATTTGATGACTTGTTTCTAATTTTAAATAATTAGTTTCTTCAGCTACCTTTAATTGCAATTCATTT